AATGTTACAAAATTTTACAAGTAGTCTTCAAGTTACAACCACAGTTGAGCCCAAAATTTATGTTGCTAGGTAGAACATTTGTTAAGTGAGTTTTGTCCCATTTTACAATTTTTCTTGCCACCATTGTTAAGTGAATCATTGCATTTATTAAGTTAATCATATGGTTGTTGAGTGAATCTGTCTTCCCCATTGACCTTGCTTGTCAGAAGGTCACAAAAGGGGATCACATGACCCCAGGACACTGCAACCATCATAAATATGAATCAGGTGCCAAGTATCTAAATTTTGATCACATGACCATGGGGAATCCTGCAATGGTCGTAAGTGTGAAAAACAGTCATAAGTCACTTTTTTCAGTGAGGTTGTAATTTTGAATGGTCACTAAATGAACTGTTGTAAGTTGAGGACTACCTGTATTAGTTCCCCATTAACAATAATGTGTGTCCCTTTTGAAGTAGATACAGATGTTATTCGTTAATTTAAAAAATTCCAAAATCCATTGTCCTTCAGGATTTTAATCAGAAAAATCCTCTTCAAATCATCAGATGCAACTTTAATGGGCAGTTAGTGGGTAGTCAACTATTAAAGGTGCTTTTACCTTGGTGTACAATAAGATTCCTTACCTTATTGCTGTTTGTGGCATCTAAGGAACTGCACTATGGACAATTATTCAGATATTTTAAATACATGGACACATCCTTTGAAAAATGTGTTCATATCAGCTATTTTCAAATCAGGATAATAGAATAATCATATTGTAGCAGTGGTTTGCTATCTTCATTGGCAGGCCAACTGGTCTGTTTGCAGTTCCAGTTCAAAGTGCAGTTCACAGTTTGTAAAGCCCTCAATGGGACATCTGAAAGAATGATTATTTAGAGATTATAGAGATTACTTGTGGCTTGGGTTAGATTTAGGCAGAGGGTTGCCACCGAACTTGCTGCCTGGCTCCTGGGAAATGTCTGGGAGCCAAGCAGCAAACTTGGAGGACAAACCTTCAGATTTAAGGTGAAAAAACAACTAGGAACAGATAAAGATCCTAATACCAATCTAGTAATGGTTGAAATGATGTGTGATGAGTGATGATTGAAAATCATCAAGCATATACAGAAAAGTACAGTGGTAGAAAATAATTTAGTAGTGACTGAAATGAGATATTGAAAATCATCAAAAATAAATAAATAGTAGATTGATATGAATAAACCATTATCATGGATGTTATTACTAAAATATAGGTATTAACAAGACTAACAACTATGATGCAAAGGAAAACTGGGAAATGATGAATAACACAGACAGACAGACAGACAGACATATAGATATAGATATGTGTGTGTATAGATAAAAAGAAATAAAGAAGAAATGGATGACAAATGCAATTTTAGCGCTAATAGAATGCCATAAAAGTAAAAACCTAAATAAGGAAAAATACAAATAAATGGATCAAAAGATAAGGAAAGGAATTCAAGTTACGAAACCTGACTTATAACTGGCTCTCATACTTAAAACTGTCACAGTATCCCTGTGGTCATGTGACTTTGATTCAGGAACTTGGCAACTTTTCTACATTGATGTTGTTATAGTATCCCATATCTGACGTTCCATTTGTGACATTCCCAGCTGGCAATACATAACCAATTTGTGGTTGTAAATTGAGGACTACCTGATTGAATAATGCGCATGCAATATTATTGTGAATTTCATTTATAAATAATAAATTATGCAGCTACAGTAACAGTAATCCAGTCATGACTGGGATGATTAGGGAGATAGTTTATCAGATTTACAAATGTTACTCAAATTATGTCAACCAAGTAAATTTTGTGGGATATATAGACAGTTTCAGATAAAATAAATGTAGTAGTTATGTCAATATAAATGCTTGGACTGTGTGATATGGGATCATATGAAAATAAGGAATAGAATTGAATGGGCAAGAGTAGCTTTTTGAAAACTAAACTTGTTTATTTTTAGTAGTTAAGTCTGAAACTTCTTTTATAGATTTTATACTGTTACATCTTTTGTATGAAGAAGATGCACAGACAATTACTCAAATTACAGCTAGAGAAATAAAAGCCCCCCTCCCTTTCCCCCTCCTTCTCTCTTTCTCCCTCCCTCATACTTAAGTCCAAAATGAAGTTGCAGTAATTCAAAATGTTTTGAAACATTTTAGAATCCAAAGTGTCTTGTTTTGCTATGAAGGATTTATTTGAGACACATACCGTGTTTCTCCAACAATACGGCACCCCCCAATAGGAAGACCCAGCATGTTTTCTAGGTATAAAATGAAATTAAGCCCCTCCCCCCAAATTTAGGCCTAGTTTAAAACATGCGAAATTGGGGGGGGGAGGCGGGGGGAACTTGCCATTAGGAGTGCCCCGTGGGCAGCTACGCCTCACCATCAGCTGCTCCTAACACCATGGTGGAGCATGGAGGGCTCCCTTATCCCTCCCTTACCTGGGTCAGCAGGTGGGTGGCATGGGCGTGGATATCCGGCAGCGTTTCAGCCGCTTCTCAGGCCTCCATAACTTCCACGGTTCCCACTGGTGCTGGCGCCTCTCTCGCCAGCACTGTTCCTGCATTCCAAGTGCCCAGGCCAAGCTGCAGCTGTCCCTCTCTCTCCAGCGCCATCTCCAACAACAGCAGCAGCAGCGGCGGGAACCGTGGAAGTGTTTCAGCTGCTTCTTGGGTGGGGGAGCTGCCTCCGTAAGTTTCACGGCTCCCGCTGCTACTGCCACTGTTATTGGAGACGGCGCTGGTGAGAGAGGGACAGCTGCAGCTTGGCCTGGGCACTTGGAATGCAGGAACGGGCTGCACACCGGGACTTTTGCAAACTTGCAGAGCCCGAGGCTGGACCACCAAGGGTAGCAGCAGCAGAGATGCTCGCTCGGCTCTTCTCACACCCACCCAGCCACTCGGGATTAAACCAAAACGCAGCGTGCGGCGCTCCCAGGTACCTCAAAATCTTTTTTTTCCTGTTGTTATGGGGACGGGAAAAGCGGGAGTGACTCAGACACTGTTGTTGGAGACAGCGCTGGTGCGCAGGGGGGGAGAAATTAATTCACCCCCGAAAAGACATCCTAGCCGTTTTTTCAGGGCTCCAAAAAAAATAAGGCCTGGCCTTATTTTGTGAGAAACACGGTAGTTGTTGTCATAAGTACATTTTATTCTTGGATCATTTAAAAACGATATTGCATGCACCATATATAATTATTATAATACAAATTATACTGTTAACACAGTTATTTATTGCAAATGTATTCATAAATAAAACTGAAAGCAAGTTATGGTTATATGGAGAGTAATGAGATGTTAGAGTTAACTTAAGGAATACAGTTCCCAATACAGATAGTCCTTGATTTACAACAGTTCGTTTAGTGACCATTCAAAGTTACAGCAGTTACCTATGACTGTTTTTCACAGTTACAACCTTTGCAGCAACCCTAGGATTGGATGATCAAAATTCAGATGCTTAGCAACTGGTTTATATTTATGATGGTTGCAGAGTCCCAGGGTCATATAATTCCCTCTTGTGACCTTCTGACAAGCAAAGTCAATGGAGAAGCCAGAGTCACTTAACAACTGGGTTACTAACTTAGCGATTCACTTAACAAGTGTGGCAAGAAAGGCCATAAAATGGGCCAAAACTCACTTAACAAATGTCTCAGTTAACAGAAATTTTGGGCTTAATTGTTGTAAGTCAAGAACTGCCTTATTCTAGAGGCAATGTATAATTTGTAATAAGAAGGAGCACATAAATTTAAGTATGCCTTCTCAGTTCTTATTTTGGGATGATTTTTTCCCTTAATGCTGATATTGACATTGTTTGTTTACACCTGCATCTTTATTCTAGTGATATGTTTGGTTGATTATAAAATAGAATGCATTTTCTTTATGTGCTTCATACTATAAAATCATTATTTTATTTCTTGGCTATGGTTTTCTTAAAATGTGTATGTAAAGTGTATTTTTATTTATCTTCCGGGAGAGCTCTGGTTTTCATATACAGTACTTTACATTTTTTCTGTATTCATTTGTCTTATGGTTAATGTTTATATTGATCTGCATAATTTTGCTTTTAATATGAATTTATAGAGGTAAGGATTTATATGCCACCCAGATGGCTTTAATTGGAACTGTTCTTAAGCATTGTGAATAAATAAATGGATCATATAGAATGTCTACTTTGGAAGACCATCTACGTATCAGCAATTTTTTTTTTAGATAGTGCTCTTCAGGGACTGCAGAGATTTATAAAAAGTTCACAATTGTTCTCAAGTATTCCTAAATTCTAAGTAAAATCAATAAAGGTGTGTAGCTAGTTCTTTCTCCCTGCATTCATATATTCTACTGGTGCTTTTATCCCGTTTTTCCCTGGTCTTGTTATGAGAGTTGAAGGAAACTTTTTTTCACTGAATACAAATACTCATTTTATCTAGCCTGGAACTTGATAAAGTGTAGTAGACTATATTAGAGTTCAATACGAATATAAATATCAGTTTAAATTTATGTTCAAAATTTGCTCAGGAAAATGTAGGAGAAGATGGAATATGGGGAGAGTTGACCCAGAATTACCTTATATTCTGTTTAAGTTTAGCATTCACATATTCATTAAAATGCTTCTGTAGCTTACTGATTTATTGAGATGTTAGTAAGAATTGCTGAAAACTGAGTTAGACTGTGCTTACACCTATATTCATTCTCCTATTTTGCAACTGTCATTTTGGCTGCTCTTTTATTTATATCCAGGCAGTTGAAGAATACTGAATATTCTTTAGCATTTTGTCTTAGCACTTTTAATACTTGTCTTCTATCAACCAGTAATCATTGGAAATTAAATTGCAATAATTACCATCATCAATTTTATTCTGTGGTTGAGTTTATAAAGCAGAATATATATATTTTTTCCAGAGTAAAGTTATTCTAATAATGTGCTAACAACATTTCAAAGTAAAAATTGGGAATTGTGTGTGATTTCTATTTTTCTCTCCTAACTTTCATAGGGAACGTTTCCACATGGAATTGACATTGTGACTACAGCTGATTATTTTGCTGTTGGTAACAGAGCTAATTGTTTTCTCAATATAAGGTGAGAGTACTATAAATTTAAAGCAAAGAAGAAACATTGTTCTTTAGAATTTATTTTCATACTTCTATCTGTAATTATATTAATACTGGAAGAAGATCAGCATGGTTCTACAGGATTCTTTGCTGAAAGAACTATGACATGCTGGCATTTTATTTTTTTAGAACAATCTAATTACAAGAAATTTCAGAGCCCACAGAATTTAGAATAAAGACTAAGAGGCAGGATTTTATGGTAGTGAGATGATAAGGTAATGAATTATCTATGGAATAGAATGGAATAGAGTAGAACTGGAAGGGACCTTGGAGGGCTTCTAGTCCAGCCCCCTTCTCAAGCAGGAGAACTTATACCATTTCAGACAAGGGACTATCAAGTCTCTTCTTAAAAACCTCCAGTGATGGAAAGCCCACAATGTCTGGAGGCCAGCTGTTCCACTGGTTAATTGTCCTCACTGTTAGGAAGTTTCTCCTTAATTCCAGATTGTTTCTCTCTTTGATTAGTTTCCAACTATTGTTTCTTGTCCAGCCCTCTGGTTCACATAGAAGTTTGTTAACCAAAAATGTCCTTTAAAAATCACTGTTCAAAGCAATACTTTGTTTTGGCAGTATTAATAATAGAAGTGTTATTTGTGCACATGTACCTCCATGTTCAGACGTCATGTGGAAACCCTTGGAATATCTGTCTGCATTTCTAAGGGGATGCAGTGCTTGGAGATTTCAAGCTGTAGTCCTGAACTTACTTAAGGTATTACTTAAGGTAATACTTAAGGTATTCTGACAGAGCTCAGGTCTGCCTGAAAGATTCATTATGAGTATCTGTTCTTATCTAGCTTTTCTCATTTTTTTGTTGGGTTACGATAGAACACACCTCTTAGTTTCAACTGTTTTCACAGTTAGTGTAATTCTTTTTGGAAAAAATTACAGTGTTGCATGTAATTTTTCTGACTTAGGGAAGACATTCAAAACTATAATATACTCTGAAACAATTTAGCCATACTCTTACCAATTCAGTCTATATCAGCCCAAAACCAAAATGTTTCCTGATGATCAGTTTGAATTCTCAAACCCATGAAACAAAATCCATGTAGCCACTAGTTCATATGAGTGAACGAATGGGAAGGTGAAAAGTATTGGTCAAAGATTTAAAAGCAATTGTTTGATGGGAAGGTCCATGGCCAAGAAAGGAGGCCTCCAGAAAAAAAAAATCTCTGTTCTGACTAGGTGACACATTCTTCATAAATGTAGTCTGACCTCCTGGCTTTGTGGGGCAGACTATGAACTCCTACTTTAGGGAGAAAGTATCTTCATATATTAAAAAGTTGAAGTGTGCTTTCTTATTTCTGTTACTACATAGGTCCTAAGTTACAATATTTCAGATCCTTTAATCTGTAAGTATTAACACGTCTCCATGGTACTCCACCCTTCTTTCCTACACCTTCTTCCTACACACAGCCAGTTTCTCAACTCTTCTTTCCATGGCTCAAGAATAACAAGACAATGCCAGTAGGGTGGAGACAGTTCTTTCCAGTTTTTCTTAAACAGCTGGTTAAAAATAATGATAATTATGGGTCTTTTATGACCTGAAATACAACCGTTTTATTCTCTGCAAAAGATGAGGATCAAAGATTTGATGGTAACCCTCATGATTCTTAGGGAATATTGACTTACAGGCTTGACTTTCTGTCGGAATGACAAATTATTTTAGAATTGCTTTTTAAATAATGCACATAAATGAAAGGATCTATCTCAGTGGTAGGGTTTTTTTTAATTGGAGAATGTCTTGGCTTTTTTTTTTTTACTCTGTTCTCCCCCAGTCCTTCTCAATTCAGTCCTTTGAAGGGAATAGAGAAATTTGGGACCTTTGCATTCTGATTTTCTAAAGCATCTGTTTTAAGGATTTTAGAAGTTTGTTTTAACTCCTGTAATTCTAATGAATAATAATAAGGAAAAGATATTGTAATAATTAATATCCTCACAATTATGCATTTTAAGCTGAATTTGAATGCTCATAATAATTGCTCCTAAATATTTAATACCTCCTAAACAATGTTGCATACCTTAACATCCTACTATTTAAAACCCTGTAAGTTCTTGAAGCTGCTTCCTGGATTTGGTCAATAACAGAAAAATTATCCAACTTTATTTTTAAGCCTGCTACTGCATAGTATTTAGCTAATCAAATTGCGATTGAGATACATACTCTGGATTTTAAGAAAATATGAATTTGTAATCTGTAATACTTGATTACAAAATGTTCTGTTTTCTATTATTTTGAAAATTATTGTTATAATCTTGTTATTGTTATATTGTTATAATCTGATAAAAGTGATTTTTATGTATTTCTTCAATCTCCTCAGTGTATATGTTGCTGGGTTTCCTGAGTATACACAGCCAATGATCGATCATCTGATTAACATGAAGATCAACCACTGGGATAGGTATATTTACTGGTGCTAATTTGTAATAATTTGATAATAAAAACAATACTTTTTTAAAATGTGTTAGTAATGTAATTTTTTTCTTTGATCTAGAAATTCATTTTTCTATAAATTGCCAACATTAGTTCATTCATTTTTTAACATTATGATGTCATTTCATTACATTATGATGTATTTTCCTTGATTGAGATTGAATTAATAATGGTGAGTCCTTAGCTGATAGGTTCACTATTATTTCATTTTTATTTTTGTTCCTTCACCTTCTTATTGATTCCTGGGGGGTAGCTTGACTAATCTCTACAGTCTTCTTGGCAAAGCTTTTTGGAAATAGTTTGCCATTGTCTCCTTCCTAGGATCGACAAAGAGTCACTGGCCCAAGTTGGCTTTGGGCTTCAGGCAGGACTAGAATTCACAGTCTTCTAATATCCAGCCTTGTGCTTAATCACTAAACAAAGGCAGTCAGATAACTAGAGCAGGAAGAAATAGAAAGGACGGTACAAAGTGAACACTAGCTTACTCTCTGATAAATGAATGGCAACAGTATAATGAAAGTACATATAGAGTCAACATCTCAAATGTGCTCACTACTCCAAAAATGAACTTCTGATTCATTTTGCTTTTTTCCTGGAACGCAGTGAACTGGACATTCTGATGCTTTTTTGGTTTCTGGAAGTGACTATTCCAGAAAAGAAAGCAAGGAGCAATGTTACAGACCATAGCTTCTACGAAAAAAATAGTGGAGCTCTGTTTTAGTAGCTTCAGCTTCATTGATAAGAAATTTTGGAAGCCCAACAGTAGCTGTATTTGATGAGTTTTTTTCCTAACTAATACTGTGTGCTTTCACATTTGTATTTTTAAGTAATTGTACAAGAGTGAGTGGCATAGAAATATGCAAAATAAATCACATATATATTGGTTCTCCTCTTTCTTCCTAAATTTTTAGTGTTATTCGGGAGCTTTCAGCTGAAGCTCTGCATAATCTCACTCCTTTGGCTCCTGAATATATTACCAAGGAAGGTGAGTACAAACATTCTCTCATTCAAAAGTGCCGAGAATGAGTATAATAAGAAGCCAACACTTAATATTACATTGCACACTTACAAACTATATAAGTACCTTGATCAAAATATTTACTTAGCCGTATATTTATATGTATATAAATAAATTGCATTGCATTCAACAGATCTTGATCCAGTTAGGTGAATATGAGATTGCAACCTGTCTGGTTCATAGAGTAATTCCAATTCTCAAAATCTTATTATTGTTAAATTTATAAATGTATGCAGCCATAGTTTTAAACATAAAATTTGCATGTGTTATTCCAACTAATATTAGAGAGATTGTTATACTGTGTAAATGCTGAGAATTGTTCCAACCCTCCTTTTGCTTAACATGTGACAGACTTTCTGTTGTTTTTATTATGCTTATTATTTTCTGTACACCTTCCTATGTATTTTAAATTAATTAATAATTATGAATAGAAGCCAGCAACAGTGAATGTGATTACTATTATTTTAACAGTGTTTTGTACTTCGCACAGAAATGTACAATTCTTCATGTAGCAAGTGCAAAGTGGACCTAGGTGCATGTTACTTTTGCCCTAATCTTACAGTTAGGAATTAGCTGATTTATTAAAAATATCAGCCCACATTGGAGGCTGCTGTAAAAGGAAATAGTCCCAGGCTAGGAATTATTAGAAAGATTATTTTAAAAAACTGCTAATATTGTAGCACCCTTTTATAAATTTGGGGTGGGATTACAGCTGGAACAGTGTGAACAGTATTAGTCATTCAGCTTAAAACATAAGAAATTATGCAGAAAATAATAACTAAAATGAGTATAAGAAATGAAGCTATGGTATTCGGGTTTTTTTTTTTTGTTTGCTTAAAATAAAGATGGATAGGGAAGTTTGAATTACCCCTTTCCATTTATCCTGTTGGAATTTGGAGTCATCCATTAAAGCTTAATGCAGTAACAAGAAATATTGTGGAATATGATGCCACCAGTTATGATGATAGTTACTAACTTAGTTTAAAAGCAGTCTGACAAATTCAGGCAATGATAGTAGTCTTGATGTTGCTGTATCAGTGGGAGATAGCTCTTGACATCTTGTCCATTGTTGCAACTTTCCTAAATACATAAAATACTAAAATAGACCCTTTCCTAATCCAGAAGATTTATCTTACATTCTTATCTCTGTAGAGATTCTTCAGTAATTCTGATCATGGTTGTCCCAAAGATGCTTTTTTTGAAAGGCAACTGCACTTTGTTTTTACTGAAGACATATCGCTTCTCATCCAAGAATATTCTTCAGTTCTGACTGAATAGTGGACTGAAGAAGATTCTCGGATGAGAATCGAAACGTCTTCAACGAAAAACAAAGTCCAGTTGCTTTTGAAGAAAACATCTTTGGAACTTCTTTTTTTTTTTGTAAATTTTATTTGAGTTTTCACAAAGAGAAAAAAAAATACAAATAAAACATCTTTTTTGAAAGTAGCGTAATCCCGGGTTACATTTCTTCGTACAGACACAAATTCAGGTTCATGCTCATTTTTATGTTCTATTCCATATCTTATTACTATTTTACATTTTCTGCATAGCTTCTCCCCTCTTTTAATTTTCTCAATTTTATTTTAATTGTTTCATCTCAATTCAAATAATTGTATTTATATTTTTTCTCTGTCCTGTTTCAATTATCTATTATCTTTTCTCATTAAACAAAATTTCTCCTGTAGTTACTGGTTGGAGTATGACACCTTTATATCTTTTAAGTTTATCCATTTAACTCTTATTTAGGCTTATATACCCTAAAGTTATAACATTCAATATAATACATAACTTCCATTCGGATTCTGCTTGGTACATTCTTAAAATACACACTATATTCTTAAAAAAAGAAAAATTATAAATGTATGTAATTCCATTCCGTGTATGTATTCCATTCCATTCCAAATGTATGTAACACATTCCATTCCAATTCAATTTTATCATTAATATTAATATTCATTAAAGTCTTAACATCTTTAACATTACTTTTCAATTAAATATCATACTTCTATGGGAACAATTATAAGCTTTCCATAATTAATCCCCCCCTCTTCACTTATATTTTATAAAACATTAACTAATTAAAATGTTCCCGGTTCCTTCCAAATTCAATTTTCTCATTTATTTTACTTCACTTATTTTATTAACAAACATTTCACTAAATTACACTAACTATTTTATCCCTCATTTTAATCATACATTGTTTCCAATTTTCTAAAGTTATTTCTATTACTAATATAACAATACAATCTTATGTACCTTTACAGAATCCCTTTTTCAGTTAGATTTTCACCCATTATCTCTAAATAGGTCCTGTTTCTCTATATCTTGCTCCGGTCCTTTGTAACTTCTTTTCCTTTCCTTCTTCCCTCTCTTGTTCTCTCTCCCCTTTTAACCCCCCTGTCTCTCTACCTCTATTTCTCTCTTCTGTATTCCCCTTTTCTGTTGCTTTCCAGTATTATACTTATTTTTTGAATTATTTTTCTTTTCTTTGGTTGTTTTTTTAAATCTTAAATTCTCCATTCTCTTTCCCCCCTTTCCTTTTTCTTCCCCACCTAAAATTACTTGTTCATTAAAGATGGTTTCTTCTTTATCCCAGTCTTCTTGTTTTGCAGACGTTTCTTGTTATTTCTCATAGTTCCAAATCTCCATTTCTAAGAATTGAAAAACGAAGCCAAAAGAACCCTTCCGTTCTTGTGCATCTTCTTTGTACTTTTTATGTTCCATTTTCAATTCATCCAGAAGTGGTGCCATTGTAAGAATTTTTAAACAACCACCTGATTAATTTTAGTCATTCAAATGTAATAACCAAGAATCCAAAGATTACCAAATAATCCAAATACACGCAAGCTGTTTCTTTTTGCTCTTTTTTTTCACTTTCTCTTCTTGGGGTTACTGTTTAGTTACAAAGTTTCAGTTAAAATGTATCTTTTAGAAGTCTTGTTGAAGTTTTACTGTAGATTCTTTTTAATTCCAGGCAGTCTCCTCCCTCTTCCAGATCCTGCCCTTATTCTTTTTCTCTCCCTTCCTGTTTATGAAAAAAAAAAATAGTGTCCAGAAATCTTTATTTGGCATTTTGTTTTATTTTCAGCTTACTTGCCTATTGATGTCAAAGCGGATTTTTCCGATTTCTTATTTAAGTCTCTTAGTTGTCAGTATAGGGAAGGAGAGAGAAGAAAAAAAAAAACCAAACCTTTCCCTTTTCACTTTCCTTTGCTGCTTCCGACTCTTCTTTGGGAGCAATGTTATTTTTTTGTAAGTTTAAATTCCAGGGTACCTTAGTTGTTGCTTTTACAATTTAACCCGGTCAGCCAAAACTTTCACTTCTTATCTTCTTCCTGCACATTCTTTTCCGGTTGAGTTCTTCTTTGTGGTGGCCATTTCTGACCACCTCTGCAACCGCCTTTGGGAAAGGGAGTAATGGCCAGCTAAGGAGGAGTGATGCGGCTCTCCTCAACCATGCTGGCGGTGTCCCCCCTCTTCACCACCTCTATGGGGTGGCTTAGCCCTGAAACCAGCTGGCTCAGGGCACTCCAGTGGCGAGCCCAGACCGAAATTGCGCACGATTGCGGATTTCTGTCTATCGCCGAAGAGACTTCAAACCGGAAGCCCGAACTTACATTCTTTTGTTCATAGTCTCTGAGGCTTCTTTGCTCTTTTGAAAATATATATAGAAAATCTCTGAATAGAAGAGATTGTTGTGTAATAATTTAACTTACCACTTTTCATATTATGTGTCTTACAGTTTTACCAAAGCTGTTGCCTTTAGCAGTTGGTATAGATCTCCATACTCGTCATGGAGCAATTCTAGCATGTGCTGAGATCACCTGTGCTTTGAGTCTTCTAGCAGAAGAAAAGAAGAGGTAATAAGAACATTACTGTTTATTTAGATGTCCTTTTATCCTTAAGTTGTTTCACCATTTCACCATATAAAAATCTTAACAAATGATAGTTGCATAAAGTACAATTTTCAAAGTATCATATAGTAATTCATATTTTCCTAGCTCCTATATAAAGAAATGTTAAAGCTACAACTCAACCATAACTCATTCTGATTGTTTGATTATTGTTTATTACTTCCCATTATCAGGAATTTCTTTTACTGTTGGTATCATCCATCAGCTTTTTGTAGTTTACCTTTGTAGATCTGAAAAGGGATCACCACTATATAACAATGTTTAAATTATCTTATAATCACCCCCCCGCCAAAAAAAAAATTAGGTACAGTATAATACCTTATGAGTGCACTTGGTTTATTAAAATTATTTTGAACTATTTACTTCTCATATCCTGTTTTTAATTCATCAGATACAAAAAAAGTATTATTAATTTGAAGTATATGCTTAGTGTACTTTGACTTTGAGTATATGCCAGCATAGTTCAATCTTTTTCTTTACTTCTGACTTCTCATAGTGAAAAGCTATGGAGATTTTTTTCCTATCAGTCATTATAAAGGGACCAAGGGTTAGATATTCCAATAACTTGATGGATATAATGAGACATGGTGGTGCAGTGGTTAGAGTGCAGGTAGTGCAGGCTACTTCTGCTGACTGTTGGCTGCCTGCATTTGGCAGTTCAAATCTCACCAGGCTACTCAGCCTTCCATCCTTCTGAGGTGGGTAAAATGAGGACTCAGATTTTGGAGGGCAATATGCTGACTCTGTAAACTGCTTAGAGAGGGTTGTAAAGCACTATGAAGTGGTATATAACTCTAAGTGCTATTGTTATAAGCTGCAAACTGTTATCCGCATCTTCTTCTACTTTACTAGAGAACTAGAACATTTAATCATTTGTGAAATATTTTTTTCCTGAGTTTTTTGGTATTATTTAAAACTTAAAAGAATTAGAATTATGGATTAGTATAAAACACATTATTACTTTTTTACCTAGGTAAGGCTAGGTAGATAGCTTGTTGCGTTGAAATGAATATGAGGGTAGGTGGAAGAAATTCATATTTCAGAATAGAAAGAGATTTTTGAAAGGGGCAGCAACTTGCTTGTAATCATTCTTCATTTTGTTTAATCTGTTGATCTTCCACTCTTCATTGTGTATTGGATGAAGATCTCCTCCCCATATTCCATTGAGAAATATGGTGGGTTATTTGTATGACATAAGGTGTAAAATTACTAGAGAACTAGTTTTGTACAGTGATTAAGGACACTAGGCTACATTCAAGGAGACTACAAATTCAAGTCCCACTTTAGGAATTGGAGCCAGCTGGGTAACCATGGGCCATTTAACTCCCTGTTAGCTCTAGGAAGAAAGCAAAAGAAAACCACTTCCAAAAAACTTGCCAAGAAAACTTCAGGGACTACAATATTCCAGACACTGGGAATGAAGACTGATTCCCCAAAACATATAACAAACAAAAAATCCTTGGCTTCTAATTATTTATCCACACTTGTTAGTGCAAAGATTTTGTGTTCAGATTTTCAAAATCTACCAATGTAATCTTTGGGGGCAGTGCCCACCTCCCGTGTGTGTGTATTTGTATTTGAGTGTGAGCACTTGTCTTAAAAGCAAGTGTTAGAAAGGTGTCAAACATGGATCTGTCAAGCAATAATGTTAGAATAAATTAACAGAACCTACAAAAATGGCTTTTGTCATAGCAATTAAAATTAAAAATACTGGAGAAGAAAATCTAATGTTTTATGGTGAAAAAGGATGTAGATAATACAGTAGTCCTTGACTTATAACAGTCTGCTTAGTGACCGCTCAAAGTTACAACAGCATTGAAACATGTGACTTATGGCCATTTTTCAGTTACAACTTTTGCAGCATTCCCATGATCAAGTGATCAAACTTCAGATGCTTGGCAACTAGTTCACAGCACTAGTTTGCTGCTGTTTCCCCAGGTCATGTGTTCCCCTTTTGCAACTTTCTGACAAGCAAAGTCAATGGGGAAACCAGATTCACTTAGGAACTGGGTTACTAACTTCTCAACTACTCCACTTAACAACTGTGGCAAGAAAGGTTGTAAAATGGGACAAAATTCACTTAACAAATGTCTCACTTAACAACAGAAGTTTGTGGGCTCAATTGTGGTGATAAGTTGAGGACTACCTGTAGTAATAGCCATAGAATTTTCACAATGTTTACATTTAATTAAGAATCAAATAGTTACTTAGAGAAAAAATGCTAAAACTATTTAATGTCAAATAATATTGTATTGATTTAAAATGGTTTTAAACCTTGTAGATTGATTTCATTTTATTTGGATGAAAAAACTTTGGAAGGACTTAAGCAGATTCATCTGGAGGTTAGTATATATTATGAAAAGTTATTATCTCTTTTCTTTTGCCATGGCCTAGAGAAAGAGGAAAAGATTCTTAGGTGGAAGGAAAGAGTTATTATTAAATTCATTCAGGAATACATTTTTTACCCTCTTCTCCAAATCAACACATGAACCACAGTTTGAAAAATACTGGGGGGGGGGGGGAATAAAAATTCTTAATGTAAAATCCATTCATTCTTTTACAGCTTCGTCAACGTCAGTTGTATAGGTAAGCTAATTCGTGTCAAATAGACTTGCATTTTTGAGAATGAAATTTTGAAGAATAAATAAGCATGTTTCTGAAATGTGTAATCCATTTTGTGTAAGGATGCATGGTTTTTGTGTTTAAATTCCTACTTTTATGATGGCTTTGCATGAACACAATAGAGAAGGTTTTTTTTATCAGGAATGGAGCAGGCTCATCTTAGAAGTCCATCTATGTTGCATATCTATTCTGTGAAGTATGTGGAAAAGTATTTAAGGATATGCATAGACTGTATAGTGTGAACTGTTTAAAAAGTAGACAACTATCAGGTCAAGACATTTTGTCATCCTAGACGAGAAGAAAAAACAACATGTAATCAACGGTATTAGCATTAACTGTAACACATAACATTGATTCATGAAATTACCAAGTTGTTTTAAATAGTTGGGAAATTAAACTGATGTTCTCAGTCTGCAACATGTTGGCACAGTTTCCTTCTAGTACTTGCTCAAGCAGGAGAACGTTCTTCCTTTCAACTACTATTATCCAGCACAGAATATAGATTGTGTGTACAGTATACACGCTGAATTCTGCTTGCTGGTTTTTTCCCCCCCTTTTCTCCATCTGATCTATTAGCTTGCTGCTTCTTATGTCTTATTTGCTAGCTTGTTACTACTGCTAAGAAATTATTCTGTATGGAAGTGTGCTTTTCTGAGCAGCAACACATTAATTGATGTTCAAAATACAGAACATGTCTTCTTTAAAAGGGACTCACTATGTGCAACTGCCTCCAAATACATGCTGCATGTATCCAGGAAAAAAGAAATGTCTGGCAGAATTACAAAAATAGCAAGTAGAGTCTGTTAGAATTTTTCAACAGTATTGGGCTAGCCTTGGACGAAGTCACATGTGTTGCTATTATTCTCCAATGGAAAAGAAAGTATGTATGTGTGTGTGTGTGTGTGTGTCTATATATATGTATACACACACACACACACACACACACACACACACACACACACATATATATATATATATATAT